GACAAGTTGATGCCCCCTGCAGAACCACTGCTACTTGACACCGAGCCGGACGAGATCTGTACACCGCCCGACGCCGCGCCATCCGCACTTGCCACACGCACCTCGCCGCTGTTGCTCAAGCCTTTTCCGCTGCGCAACGCTACCGACGCACCAATGCCCGATGCACTCGCGCCTCCCGACACATTCACGTCGCCTCCTGTCACGCCAGCACCACCAGCCAAAGTCAATGAGCCGCCCAAGTCGCCGGAGCTGCTGCCGCCGGACACATTAATTGAACCACCGACACCTGCAGCCTCGCCGCCAGACATGCTCACAGACCCACTAGATTGCGCAAGCGACGCGCCCGAACCGATCGAAATGGCGCCGGACGAACCGATCTCCACCGAGCCACTCGACAGCGCCACCGCGCCACTGTTCACGGAGCTGACGCCACCATGAGATCCGAGCGTCACCGCCCCGCTTGTTCAGCGCAAGCCCTTGCCACTCTGGATCGTCACGCCGCCGCCCGTAAACGACTCCGATGCACCGCCCACCACGGACACACTGGAGCCCTCTCCGCTCGCAGAAGAGCCACCAGATACCTCGATGGATCCTACACTAGCGTCAGCGGACCCGCTGCTGATACGAACGGATCCGCTAGACGTACTGCTAGCGCTAGTGTACACCTCAATATCACCGCTAGAACCGCTGGACACGACACTCGTGGACACACGCACGTCGCCACTGGTCATGGCACCGCCGCCGCTTGTCAGCAACACCGCACCACCCACAGTGGCCACGGACGACCCGCCATCAATAAACACGTCGCCCGCTCTTCCTTGAGCGTTCGCAGACCCGACGATCTTCAACTTTTGCGCTGCGTCCACGCTGGCCACACTGCCGGCACGCAACCCCACATCGGCACCAACAGCACTGCTGTCTCCCTGCACTAGGCTCAAGCTGCCGCCAGAGCCGCTACGGACAAACACGCTGCTGCCAACCGCACTGCTCCCGGAGTCGCCGCTCCACACAGTCACATTGCCGCCGACGCCACTCGATGACGAGCCGCCAGACACACGAACTGCTCCGCCAGACCCGCTCGACGGCGAAGAACCGCCGCTCACGTCCACGAAGCCGGAAGATCCCGTGTACGACCCACCGCCACTCACGAGAATATTGCCTCCCGATGCCGCCGTGCCGCTAGGCCCGCCCACAACGTTCACTGAGCCCCCGGACCCTGTGCTGCTAGAGCCGCTGGACACACGCACTGCGCCGGAACCGCCATCGATCGCGTCGCCAGACACAATCGACACCTCACCAGAACCAGACACAGCGCTAGCAGCACTGCTCCCAATCGACACAGCACCGCTCGACACACTACCAGCGCCACTAGACACAGACACCGCACCGCCTGTCGAGGAGCTACTAAAGCCACCCGACACAAACACGCGGCCTGCCACTGTAGCCGCACGGCCTGATTGCACTGACACATCACCGCTACTTGCAGCTGCTGAAGACCCCGAAGATAGCGTCACCACGCCCGACGCAGCATCCACGGACTCGCCACTTCCGATCGTCGTCGAGCCGCTCAAAGCGGCGCCGCTCGTAGAAGCACCGCTCACAACGCGCATGTCCCCGCTGCCCAGCAATCCTGCGCCAGACGAAATGGACACGCCGCCACCGACGCCAGCCTCACTCACGCCGCCGTCAAGAGAAATAACGCCTCCAGTCGCCGTGCCCGTCGAGGCCATACCGCCGAACATGGCAATATCGCCCGCAAGGCCCGAAGATGCACTCAAAGCGCCACCGCGAATCCTCACCGACCCGCCGCCCGCACTGCCGTCTATGCTAGCACCGGCCACAATGTCGACCATGCCGCCGATAGCACTACGACGAACGCCGCTAGACAAACTCACCACGCCATCCACACCGGACGACACGGTCACTGAGCCTCCGCGTGCGGTAGAGCTGCCGGATGACCCACCACGGATCTCCACGCCACCCGCATCGGTCGAGGAGGAATCGCCACTCGACACGACCACAGACCCGCTCGAGCCACTAGCACTTCCGCCAGACACGACTGACAGCGAACCCGACGCACTAGAATCGGCACCGCCTGTGCCAATATCCACGTTGCCACTTAAGCTCGAGTCCGTCCCAACCGCGCTGGACACCAGAATGTTACCGCTACCTGTACCACCCGCTCCGCTCTGTAGCAATACCGCTCCGCCAATAGACGCAGAGGACCCTCCGCCACGCACTGACACCGAACCACCGCTGGACGAAACACTGGACCCGCCAATGACATCGATAGACCCAGGCGCACTATCGATCGAGTCGCCACTGCCCAATGTTACACTGCCGGACGCGCCTGCAGTCGAAGCACCGCTCCTCACGTCCAAAGAGCCGCTGGTGCCACCGCCAGAGGAGCCCACCAACACACTGCCACTGATGGCAGTCGCGTCACTGCCGTTACCACTCAATACGGATACCGAGCCGCCCTGCACGATACCAGCGCCACCCGATACGGACACCAAACCGCCGCCGTTGCTGCCAGTAGAGCTACCCCCCTCCAGCCGAACTGCACCAGCCGCAGCTTCCGCAGACGAAGACGCAGACGAAGACGAAAGCGCCACTAGAGATGATCCGCCCGCCAGCAACACGTCCCCCGCAGCGGATTCAGTACTAGACCCACTGCGTACTTCGACGTTACCGCCTTCAATGACAGATGAGCCAACCGACAAGTTGATGCCCCCTGCAGAACCACTGCTACTTGACACCGAGCCGGACGAGATCTGTACACCGCCCGACGCCGCGCCATCCGCACTTGCCACACGCACCTCGCCGCTGTTGCTCAAGCCTTTTCCGCTGCGCAACGCTACCGACGCACCAATGCCCGATGCACTCGCGCCTCCCGACACATTCACGTCGCCTCCTGTCACGCCAGCACCACCAGCCAAAGTCAATGAGCCGCCCAAGTCGCCGGAGCTGCTGCCGCCGGACACATTAATTGAACCACCGACACCTGCAGCCTCGCCGCCAGACATGCTCACAGACCCACTAGATTGCGCAAGCGACGCGCCCGAACCGATCGAAATGGCGCCGGACGAACCGATCTCCACCGAGCCACTCGACAGCGCCACCGCGCCACTGTTCACGGAGCTGACGCCACCATGAGATCCGAGCGTCACCGCCCCGCTTGTTGTCGACAAGCCCTTGCCACTCTGGATCGTCACGCCGCCGCCCGTAAACGACTCCGATGCACCGCCCACCACGGACACACTGGAGCCCTCTCCGCTCGCAGAAGAGCCACCAGATACCTCGATGGATCCTACACTAGCGTCAGCGGACCCGCTGCTGATACGAACGGATCCGCTAGACGTACTGCTAGCGCTAGTGTACACCTCAATATCACCGCTAGAACCGCTGGACACGACACTCGTGGACACACGCACGTCGCCACTGGTCATGGCACCGCCGCCGCTTGTCAGCAACACCGCACCACCCACAGTGGCCACGGACGACCCGCCATCAATAAACACGTCGCCCGCTCTTCCTTGAGCGTTCGCAGACCCGACGATCTTCAACTTTTGCGCTGCGTCCACGCTGGATACACTGCCGGCACGCAGCCCCACATCGGCACCAACAGCACTGCTGTCTCCCTGCACTAGGTTCAAGCTGCCGCCAGAGCCACTACGGACAAGCACGCTGCTGCCAGCCGCACTGCCATCGGAGTCGCCGCTCGACACAGTCACATTGCCGCCGACGCCACTCGATGACGAGCCGCCAGACACACGAACAGCTCCGCCAGACCCTCTCGATGACGAAGAACCACCGCTCACGTCCACGAAGCCTGCTTGGCCTGTATCTGCATGTCCTGCCATTATTTCTACCGCACCTGAATCGGAAGATGATGTACTTCCAGAACGAAGGTTGATCGACCCAGACGACTCGGAGACTGTCGTTCCAGATTCGATGGTAATAGTGCCAGTCGCACTCGTAGAAGACTGCTGTGTTTGAATTGCAATCGATCCACCGCCTCCTTGTAAAGCACTTGGCGACAATATAGAAATAGTGCCCGATTCAATTTGGCCGCGCCCTGAAGCGAGAGTCACGTTGCCGCCGAGGCCGGCAGAATTTTCAGCTTGTACAACCACACTTCCTGGTGCATGAGACGTCGTAGAAGTGCTGGTATCTCCATTTAATGTATGCCCAGATAGAAGCTCGATGTCTCCACTCTTGTCAAGGCCGATACCTGTTTCAAAAGTGAGGGAGCCAGCTTTAAGGACGCCTTGGCCTGATGTCGTGGAAAGTTTAATATCTCCGGAGCGGATATTGCTGCTTGCGGTATGCAGCTGGACATCAGCAGCAATATCGGATTTTTGATCCGATCCCGAATTAACTGAAAAATCACCAAACACGCGAGTAGACATTGATGTAACATCGACAACACCTTTGGCACCTGTCAACGAGTCGCCTGTGCTGATGGCAATTGATCCGCTCTCTCCAAATGCAGACCACCCTGTTGTCACGGAGATACTTCCGCTGTTGCGACTTCCTCGAGAATCTGGGGTCTGTAGGTTGACGTTCCCTGGATTCTCATAATTTCCGCCACTCGCGATTACAACACTACCAGCAGCTGTTCCGCTCCCCTGAGCAGTTCCTGCTTCGAGCACTAGATCCCCCCCTTCTCCAGCGATACTGTCGCCGGCTCGAATGCTAATTGCACCTGAGTTGGATTGGGCATTTCCACTTGCAATACTTACATCTCCGCTTGTACTGACACTGGACGATCCAGTTTCAACACTGATATCACCACTGCTGCCGGTAGGGGAAGCGTTTGTGTAAGATCCCGCGTCAGCCGTAGCAATGTCAATTCGCCCACTTTGCGCTTCGCTGTTGGGACCAACCTTGAAACGCCTGTGCTGGGCGTGAATAGCTGCGATTAAATCCATTGTGATTTGCTGCTTATTAACTTCGTGAAATTGTTCCAAGCTGAAGTTTTTCTCAGGAAGTGTTAGTGTTGAAATAGTCACGTACTCCGGAAAAGTTTCCTCCACTTGCTGAGCGATCACGCCGCGAACAGTCACATCAGGAATCCCGCGTATTTCTCGCCACATTTCTGAGTACCGATATTTTTTCACTTCGAGGGTCTGAAGGCGCTGGAGTATGTCATCTTCATCAATATCTTCGATATCAGTCTTGATACGACGATCTGACGGGTATGTGACTTCGGTAATTTGCGCTGGAACATGACTGATCATCTTGTTCGGCTGCAAACGCCAGATCACTCCTCCAGGCACTGTGGTTTCTCCGTGAGATACAGTAAGTTCTCCAGTATCGACACTAATATTCATATTGTTACCACCGCGAATTTCCAAGGATGAAGTAGCGGCCGCCTTTACCCTGATTGATCCATCAGATGTCACGCTCATGTGGGAAGCAGTTGCGTTCGTTCCCGATACAACCACATCACCACCACCAGACTTTAGTGCCAGGCGTCCACCAATTCCATCACCTGCGGAAGCTGTACCACTAGCAATTTCACTGTTCCCACCCTGGGTAGAGCCTTTGCCGGACACAAGAGTAATGCCGCCTCCGTTTGAAGTTATGCTTGTGCCAACTGCCATTCGAAGTGATCCGGTAGATCCGCTAAGACTGGGGCCAGTTTGAAGAGGGAAATCCCCACTAACGCCAGTCGTTGCGTCTCCACTGCCAACAATCGCACCCCCACTAGAAGAAGAACTGGCAGTTAGCGCAGTCAAGGTACCACTAGTAGCACCCGAGCCAGTGGTAATTTGAACGGAGCCCCCGTTACTCAGATTTGCAGTAGACGAACCGCTCATAATCGCGACATCACCACCGGCCGCCAGACCACTGGAAGATCCAGTAATGGATACACTGCCTCCTGCAGTAGAGCCTGCACCAGCGCTTAGCTCCACGCTGCCGCTTTGTTTATTAGTGGAACTCCCAGACGAGATCCTCACACTACCAGATGAGTCGGCAGTGGTTGAAGTTCTAATACGCAGCATACCACTGCCACCGCCAGATTCAGCTTCCCCAGATTGAACGGTGATTTCACCACTGACTTTTCCGGATCCTGAAGACACAATGACAGAACCACCAAGCACAGAAGGATTATCACCGCCCGTAAGATAAACTGCACCTCCATCGTCTACTACCCCGTTGCCTCCTCGAATCTCAATAGAACCTGCCATTCCCGTTGACGCAGATCTAGTGAAAAAACGGGCAGGACTAGACGAAGTCTGGGCAGAGCCTGATCCAACCTCAACAAGTCCGCTTCTGGCGGTGCTTGCAGCAGACTGAATCAATACCCACCACTGTCACCGCTTCCACTTTCCCCTGACACTAACGAGAGCCTCCCTCCATTTAGGGTCGTTCCAGCTCCAGAATGAAGAGATAGCTCACCGCCGCTTTCACCAGCACCAGCAGTAACATCGGTGTTGCCCCCAGTGGAGACTTCAGACCCACCGGCACCGAGTGCTACATCGCCACCATCACCAAGAGCACCAGAAGTGCTCCCCGCAAACAACATTAACAGGGATCCTTTCGTTTTAAAGGATGACCCAGCAGCAACAAAGACGCTGCCTCCACCAGCCCCTGAATCCCCTGTCTTGATCTTTACGGAGCCTGAAGCACCTTGTGGTGAGTTCCCGGTAGCAATGTCAACGACTCCAGTAGAAGCAGTAGAAGCGTCAGTAGCACCAACACTTGAAACAGATACAGACCCTGATGATACTGGACCGACTCCTGTACCAAGCCGAATCGAGCCTCCAGTACCCAAAGCAGATTCTCCAGCATCCAAGGAGATATTGCCGTTGTTCAATCCGAGACGAACTACGAAGTTACCTCCAACGCCAGAGCTGCTACTTCCAGTGCTCAGAGCGAATGAGCCGGGGATACCAGTATTGGCAGTACCTGTAGACACTGCAATCGATCCAGATACTCCAGAACTAGTGTCACCTGAGCAGAAAGTCACGTTTCCAGTAGTTCCAACTGGAGATAAACCCGAAGATATCAAAATGGGACCTGACCTCACTGCACCATGTCCGGAAACGATATTAACAAGCCCACTGCTTCCATCAACGCGAGCACCATGCGTTTGTAGTGAAACATCTCCACTAGATGAGACTGCGTTCGCACCGCTGATAATGCTGACAGCGCCACCTGACGCAGCAATAGCTTCACCACCTTGGAGAGCAACCGACCCGCCAACATCCTTGCTGAAAGAGCCTCCATAACTTTTTCCACCCACTAACTTCACAGAGCCACCACGGCCACCACCAGCTTCATCGTCTCCAAGCCCGACACCGCCAGCAACAGTGACACCTCCAGCAATAGCATCTCCAGCCTGAAACGCATCTCCGCCAGTAATGTTGACCCACTGACCATTTCCAGCGCTTGCCTTCCCTGCAGCGACTTGAATACCAGCCCCATCGGAGACTGCACCTAAGCCAGTGCTAAGAATAATCGATCCAACAGACTTGGTTGCCGAATCGCCCGTTTTCAAAGAAATTTGGCCAGATGATCCACCATCTTTTGCAGAATCTGGAGTTTCTAAGGACAAATGACCACTAGAAGTTGCCGAGTTGTATCCAGTCACGATAGCAACTTTACCACCTCTGCCCTTCGGTGCAGTTGTCGAACCAGCAGAGACAAAGACATCTCCACCGGCTGCGTTTGACCCCGTACCGACCGCAATGTTAACCGAGCCTGCTCCCCCACTATTAGCATCACCCGTCCGGATGCCAACGCTACCCGAGCCACCAAGACTGGCGATGCCAGTGTGGAACTCAATTGCGCCGGTCGAGCTAGATGCATCAGCCGTATCAAGTGAGACGTCACCGCTTGATGCACTCAACGAGGAGCCAGAGGCAATCGAGACTGCACCGCCTGCAGACTCCGCGGCGTCCCCACCAGAAATAGCGATTGCTCCTCCCGGATCACAAACTTTGTTCGTGCCATCGGACGACCCGGCCACGATTTCCACATCACCGCCGTTTCCTCCATCCTTGTCATCAGTAGAGCGGCCGCTACCACCTATTAGTCGGACACTGCCTCCCTGACCACGAGCAGCCGTGGAGTCTCCTCCTTCCAGCTGAATCGACCCACCATCACCAACGGAGGCAAGGCCGACTGCGATTGTAATATTACCACCTCCACCGTTGAGGGCATCGCCAGTGAGAAGTGAAACACTTCCGGAGCCGGGCATACCAGTGGAAGTTCCGGTTTCGATCACGACGGAGCCAGAGTGCCCTTCCTTTCCGGCATCGGCTGTAGACAACGTTGCGCTTCCGCTGGACGATGTAGTACTCTGCCCGGACTGAATAGCAACATTACCACCACCATCAGCGTGAGTAGTCGCTCCAGCAGTGACGCCTACATTTCCACCCGGGCGACCAACGCCTGAGCCTACAAAAAGTTGAATATCTCCACCTGCTCCGTGTTCCGATGCACCTGAGCTTAGTGTCACGGTGCCGGAGGACCGACCACGAGAATACCCCGAGTAAATGTTCACGACACCACTACCACCACTACTGCCGCTCCGGTCAGAGCTAATGTCGATGTCGCCACTGGAGCCTGGAAAAGAGACTCCTGTAATAATGACGACAGATCCTCCTTTTGCAGCAGAAGTACCTCCCGCCTGAACGACCACATTTGCTGCGCCTTGAAGGCTATCCCCACTTTGCACAGTAATGTCTCCACTCGTTCCCTTCGCAGCTGATCCAGAGCGTAATGAAATAGGTCCACTAGCCTCATTGGCGGTAGCACCACTAATGACGCTAATGCTTCCCGATGAGTGAGTGTTTTTCTCAACGGCATCTCCTGTGGAGATTCTCACATCACCGCTTGAAGAGGAGGTTGCATTTCCGGTCACGATAGCCACGAATCCACCAGTTGCAGCATTTCCTTTGCCACTGAGTAGGTGAATAGATCCACCGACGTCTGTCGCGGAGTTTTTACCACTAGCATCACCACCTGACACGACGATGTCACCTCCATCGCCACCGTTCTTCAGATCAGTGCTCAAACCACTGCCTGCGGTAAGCGAAATCTTTCCGCCAACCGAGGCTGTAGCTGTGGTATCGCCAGCTCGCGCAGTTATGTCTCCACCATTTCCAGCACCACCAGTACCAACCAAGACATCAACATTGCCGCCATGGCCTCCCGTTGAGCTACCAGTAGTTAGCGAGATCATACCTGAATCCCCTTTCGCAGCAGTGCCAGACGAAACGGCAATAGATCCGCTAACTCCGGCTGTCCCAGAGTTGTCGGTGCTCACGGTAATGCTGCCGCTATCACCCTTCGTGCTGGAACCGGATGAAACAACGACATTTCCTCCAGGCTGTCCCTCTCCAGACGTCGATCCAGCTTTCAGCTTGAAGTCGCCACCTGCCTTAGCAAGACTGCTGCCAATAGCGACGTCGATACTACCGCTGCTACCCTTATCCGAATCGCCAGTTCGAAGGGCAAAGCTGCCCGAGTCGCCGGCTTGTGATTTACCGGTGCGAGTAACAATCGACCCACTGACGCCGTAGAACCCCGAATCTGCCGAACGTATTTCAATATCTCCACTCGAAAAGAATTCGGGGACGCCGGAGATAATATTAATAGCACCGCCACTTCCTTTATGTGCTTGACCGCCATGAACAGTGACAGCTCCAGCTATGCACCCAAAAAAAAAATTATTGCGTTAGTCATTAGGAAGATTTAAACGCAGTCGGGAGCCTTACCAATATCCCCTCCACTTTGACCACCAGCGTAGCCGCCTACAACGTTAACGGGGCCTCCCTTTCCACCCCCATTGGGCATTGCGGCTAGTTCCACGACCCCCCGTGATATCGACTGCACCACCAGTTGATCTCATATCGCTCATATCGCCGCCGCTAATTGCAGCACGCCCGCCACTTCCTGTTCTCCCTGTTCCAACAGAAACAATGATGTCGCCTGCCGGTCCAGGCTCAGACTTTCCAGTCACTACAAAAAGCGATCCACTTGGGCCTGCGGTTGAATTTCCGGTTAGAACCTGAAGCGTGCCTGACACACCTTTCTTTCCAGAGTCGACACTCATGATCGCCACATCTCCGCTGCTGGAAGTCATACCAGTACCGGAGAATACCTCAATCTTGCCGCCTGTTGAGGTCCGGCTTGCCCCTCCTTCAACATGAACCATGCCCCCTACGTCAAAGTCTTTCTTACCACCCATGCCTTGGCCCCCGCGAATTTGAACAGCACCACCGTCGCCACCATTGCTTCCATGAGTGCTTGTTCCAGATCCTGCTTGTAGTGAGATACCCCCCCCTACCTGAGCAACCGCTGCAACAAAAAACATTTACAGTATCTTTAACACTATACAAAAGCAGCTTTTGAAAAAAAAGAACTTACCGGAAGTGTCCCCTGCGGTGATGTTCACATCACCACCGCTTTTCGTATCTCCCACGCCAACCGATACAATTACACTTCCGCCGTGACCCTTGTTCGCAAGCCCCGTGACGAATGTCATTGCACCGCTGTTTGTGGTCTGGCTCTTACCGGTGGTAAACGTCAATGATCCCGATCCACCTTCGGTACCACCGTTTGGCGTCTGGACCAGAAAGTCACCCGACGTAGTTCGCACGGAACCACCAGTAGTAAGGGTGATCGAACCTCCAGTGTACTTCTGGAGAGCAAGTCCGGCACTGATTGTCACATCTCCTCCAGAGTTCTCAGTGTTGTTTCCAACCGAAAGCGAGATGTATCCACCTTTTCCTTTGAGGGCTTGGCCACTATACAAACTGATCTCACCACTATCACCGGCAGTACTGTCGCCAGTGCTGATAATTGCAGAGCCACTAGTACCCTTCTTTCCCGAAGCAGCAGTTGCAATAGACACTGCACCACTGGATGTAGCTGCACTAAAGCCAGTGTCGAGGCGAATACTTCCGCCACGGCCCTTATGTGCATAACCACCTTCCAACGCGATGCTTCCACCAGTATTAAGTGCAGAACTTCCACCTTGAGAAGCTCCCCCAGTCACCTTCACGACGCCGCCATTACCTCCGTTGCTGAAAGCTGGGCTGGTTCCCTCGCCGGCCTGAATGGCTACAGTTCCGCCCGTTTTACCAGCATCAGTCGTCGCGCCAGCAGTCAACTGAACTTGACCACCATCTGTTTTGGTTCCAGTCCCAACAGTAGCAATAATGTCACCTCCGTGTCCAAGCGTCGCGGAACCAGTTAAAACCACAAGTGCACCTGAATCTGTAGTAGTAGCAGTTCCGGTTTGAACCTTTACACCTCCGCTTCCTCCAGCTCCACCGGCGTTCGCCGTATTTACTGTGATATCACCGCTGGAGGTTGCCTGACTTGCACCCGAGACGAGTGATATAAATCCTCCCGTCCGAGTATCCGTCGTGCTACCTGCTTCCATCGATATCAAACCTCCTTCACCGAAGTCACCGCTACCAACAAGCACCTGAAACTGGCCTCCTTTGCCGCCTTTGGCCGCGCCGGTCGTCAGGCTCATCGGACCCGAGTTTCCATACGACGATGTTCCAGTGGAGACGGTAACCATACCACTTACACCGCGTGAGCCTGCGTCTGGTGTACTCAAGTACACAGAGCCACTAGAACTGGCAACCCCAGATCCAGATTGCATAGACAAATCACCTCCGTACCCGAACGACCCTCGACCAGCAGCTACGTTAATGCTGCCGCCGTTATCAAGTGAGTTTGAGCCACGTGCTTCGCCACCGATAATGTCAATATCTCCGCCGTCTCCACCGTCTACGGCATTTGTGCTCGAGCCAGTACCACCAGTTAGCGCCACTTTACCTCCAGTGTGGCCCATCCCTGACGACTCCCCAGCACTAACTCGAACGTCTCCGCCATCAGTCGCATCACCCGCTCCAACTAAAACTTCGATCGTTCCACTGTTACCTCTCGATGCTCTGCCCGTAGACACCTTCAGAGCTCCAGCAGAGCCGTCTGGACTGTTTCCAGTGCCAAGTGACAACGTACCACTCATGCCCCCACTCGCAGCCTGGGCGGATGCAATTTCAACAGAACCACTCCAGGAGTAAGCGCTTACCCCGGAAATCATCTTGACATTACCACCGACACCGCTTTGCGCTTCGCCGCCCTGAACGAAGACTGCGCCACCAGTGTCTTGAGAAGAAGATCCGAGGGACGAACCACCAGCTAACACAACTCGGCCGCCGTCGCCTCCGTCACCAGAATTGTCGCTCATACCCGACCCTCCTCTTAAGAGCAGAGCTCCACCTGTAGTAGCAGCATGCTTCGAGGAACCAGATTCGACAGATATGTCACCACCGTCGCCAATTCCATTAGAACCGACCAAGACTGAAACACTCCCAGCTTGGCCTTCTGATGTTCCAGTTTCTAGGGTGATTAAACCAGCCATTCCTAACAGGGTGTTGCCAGTGTTCACGATAAAGTTTCCAGAGTTACCGAAAGCGGCTGCATTCGCTGAAGCCACACGCACTGTGCCAGACGAACTGAGGCCTGATGCACCACTCACAAGGTTAACAGCTCCCCCAACGGACGAGGTGCTGCTCCCACCTTGAAGCTGAAGCTCCCCACCACTTCCGTCGATCGATTGTCCTCCAGCAAGCTTAACACGACCACCATCTCCTTCAGCTTCCGAATGGAGTCCGTGTCCGTTACCTCCAGCAATGCTAACCTCGCCACCAACGCCGCCGTTTGAAGACAAACCAGACCCCCCGCTAAGCATAATAGCACCGCCAGCTTCGGTGTCAGCTGCCGAGCTACCACTAGCAATATTGACGCTCCCGGGTGTGCTTTTCGATGAAGATCCAGCTTGAAGTTGCAGATTTCCCGCAGGGCTACGGATAGTGTACCCTGTTCCAACGGTAACACTTCCAGATACACCACGAGCAGCGGGGCCACTCGTAAGACTCAGAGATCCTGAGCCTTTTCCCAGCGGACTATATGCCGTCGTCATTTCAACACTTCCACTAACTCCTGATGCGCTCACTCCAGATGACAGGTGGATAGCCCCACCAACACCACTATCAGTTGGCCCGCCATTAAGAGCAATACCACCACCATGTCCAACGGCTGCCTTTCCTCCACTTAATTGGATAGCACCGCTGTTGCCCTCAGTCGAAGTACCAGTCGATATTTCAACCCGCCCAGAATCTGGTGCGGAATCTCCTGTTGAGAGACGAACACTACCACTCCCCCCTTGAGCACTGACGGCCGTTTGGATTACTACTGCTCCGCTCGAATCGTTCTGGCTAAGCCCACTAAAAATCATAATAGACCCACCAGCTCCACCGGTTGCATTTCCTCCAACAACAATTACGTGGCCACCGGCAGATGTGTTTAACGCCCCCATAGAAGCGCCACCGCTTATAGTGGTTGTACCTCCGGTGGACTCATCAGTGTTAGCTCCATCCCCTGCTACGACTTTGACTGCACCTCCGGTGCCTCCTAGTTTGGTCGTAGCGCCTGCTGTAGCAAGGATCTTTCCACCCCTATCAGTTTTTCCGGTGCCAACCGTAAGAAAAATTGAGCCCGTGCTTGATTCATTTGCACTTCCAGTGAACAGGTATAACGGACCAGTCCCACCTGATGACGAGTTGCCCGATCCAATCACGATGGCACCGCTGGAACCATTCACTCCAGAGTTACCGGTTAAAATGACTACTCCGCCAGAAGCTTTGGTAGCAGATGTACCAGTCTCCACGCGCACAGACCCACCGACTTCATCCCCGCCAGACGAGCCTCCGCGCACGATAACACTGCCGCCTTTGCCACCATCGGATGATCCGCTGGACAGTACAATAGATCCTGCCTCATCCGAGGACGAAGTACCAGTGCGGAACTCCATTGCACCTGACGTCCCACTTACTGCGTTTCCAGTTTCTACAACAACTCCACCGGAACCGCCCTGGGTGACGACGCTGGCAGTCTTGATCGTAACACTGCCACTAGTCGAGGCAGAACTCGTGCCGGAAGCAATATTGATTGACCCACCGGTAGTCGCACCGACACCGCCAGTCATATCGAGGTTACCTCCGGTCCCGACTTTTGACATTCCACCTGTTACTTTCACAGCACCGCCCGTGATCGAGCTATCAAAGTTCTGGATACCAAGCCCGTCTCCACCGGAGATCGTGACAGTGCCGCCACGTCCACGGTTCTGGTGCACTCCATCGCCAGCAACAATCGCCACGCCACCACCGGCCGTGTTAAATCTATTGTCGTCACCGCCACGGAGTATGATGCCACCGCCTGACTGCACGGTTACAGTGGATTGATTCACCACAAAGGAATAGTTTAGCGAGTGTTGGGTAACTCCCGTGACAACGACCCCACTGCGCACATTGGGTGGCTCCTGGTGGACGATGACATCGCCTACAATGATTGTCTCTGCAATGAAATAGCACATTAGACAATGCAAAACAGAGCTCGCTCAACACACATACCTGGAACAATCACCGTGGGGCATGGCGCGTCGCTGACGAGCGCTTTGCACCCAGAGCCGAGACCCTCTTCCATCGCCATACACGCTGCATCGGACGCACACCACACGCATTCATCCGACGCGACACAACTACCGCAATCGGTGATGGTGTTGCACTGCGGGTTCACTGGGCAGGCCTCTGCCTCAGCGATCCAATCGCTGCACCAGATCTGGTACCGAGCGAATGGTCCGTGGAGGTTACCGGGCACGCACGTGAGTGTGGATCGGCAGAAGCCACACGACGGCACCGCGGCGCAGTCGTAGCAGCGGTCCATTGCTTCCCAGAACGGAGTGTCAGGGGGTGGCGAAAGTGCCGAGCAATTGACAGTCGTCGCGTCAGCGTCGTCGTGTGACCAGGACTTGACCGTCGTGGGCGCTGACGAGACCTGCACCACCCAGAGACTCCAGATGCTCATTACGAGACCGGCGCAGGACATACCGTTCCACTTGTCTCCTATCACCTCGCGTTTATTTCTCTCGTTTCTTGTCATCCTTACTAAATGCACTACTTTTTCTGAATGTTTTGCTGTTTCTCTTTCTGTTTTTTTTTGTTTTATTGTTTTTCGTAGGAAAAGAATGAAATGCAATGAAGCAGGCCCCCAGCTACACAATGGAAGCCGAAGGAAAGACCGATCCACCTCTTAATGAAATACAGGCGCACAGCCAATACACAAGGCGCTCAACCCTAGGCGGGAAGAGGCGGTTAGTCGCCAGAGAAGAGCTCCCCACTCGCACAGGAGGCCCTTCTGGACACAAACACGCGTTAGAAAAGTGCTCGGGGTCTCTGTCGTCGCTCAGTGGTCACGCTCTGTATCTGCTTCTGTCCTGAAGTTCGCTAACAGTCGATGGCTGGTCGCTTCGGTCGCTTTTTTCCTCGTTGTTTGCGCTCTCGCCGCTCAAACGAAGAATGAAGGCGCGGCCGAGTGCGGTCTTCAAAACAAAGTCAAACAAAAGATCGCAATCCAGGATGACACGCTTCCAGCAGAAAATGGAAAGAATTCTAGGTTCAAGTAGCGTACACGCTCGAATAAAAGCCCTTCCCGAATAAAGTACATTTATTATTATATAGAGGAATCACTAAAAGGAGTTGTACCCAATATAAAGTACACACGAATCTGACATCGTTGCGGTTCGTAAAACGCAAGGTGGCTCGTTTGTGCCGGCTTGCGATGGCATTTATCTATTCCCCGCCCAACACTGCAATACCCGGTATTATCGCCCACTATTAATAAGTCCCCACTTACGTCGCGAAACAGGCTAACGAATGAACAGCGACGACAGATCTGCCGCCACAATGCCGAAAAACCATCATTGAGCCAGGTCCAGCTTGCGTTGTGGACTCAAAGCGTGTTACAGCTACAGCGCGCTTTATCACAGGCAACGATTAGAAAAATTCTGAAGCAGGAATACCTACTCGAAGCCATACCATTGGAAGCTCTGACTACAAAGTCGCACCGCGTTCGGTCCAGCTGGCAAGAAAAAAAGATTAAAAAGCTTTACTATTGTTTACAGGCAATGCGGATGGATCTGAAACGTTTGTTTTGTAAGAAAATCAAGGAGGAAACAGCAGATGTCACTGTTTTCATTCTTCAATCGACATTGACGGAACTGACTAAATAAATAGTTAAGAGCCTCTGAATAACAATATCACCCTACTATTCACCAATGAGAGGATATAGGCTGTTTTGTGGTCATCTCTCAACCACTTTATTTGGTATTGGGGATATCAATACCGGTACAGGTGAAATCAAAATTTTTGATGCCTATCTCGTTTCTAAATCAGCCGTTTTGTGTATCGACCTGAAATATTTTATTTTGGTCAGCATTCAAAATAGCTGCCGTGTATTCCGCTTTATTCTCTTTTTTTCGCCGTATTTATAGAAGCAGCAAGATTTAGTCGCCTGGCCAGGAGAATGCTCACTTCACGAACGGTATTCATCCCAGCACAGCAAATTGGCCCGCGACGCTAACACCGGTTCGTCTTAGGGTCAACGTAGGGGAGATCGCAAAGACAAATAGGACCGACGTTACTGTGAGAGAGCCCGTGTCGATAGCGAGAGGGAGGACTACAACAACGTTCTGCAGGAATACCGAGGAAAAGGTCATGGATAGCTTGCGCAGCTGCCGCAAGAAGACTGTTAGATCCGACATTAATATCTACATCAAGCCAAGCCAGACAGCACGTCAGCGAGACTTGGTTTATCTATCTGCAAAAATCTTTGTCCCTCTGATAGCCGCATCCTACAGTAACTATTAGAAGAGGGTGAAGGACTCTGGTCCTTTCGAGATAGAGGAATTTCCAAGAAAAAGCGCCGTACGCTACCCGGGACTAGATAAGTGATAGCCTTTAGGGTCCAAGGAGCTACATCTACTATCGACAGCTATATAGACCAGCGCCCAGAGCTACAAGTGGGTGAGATTGCCTGGACACATTGGTCCATCTCACACGCCCGGCAACCTGAGAGGAAAGTCGTCGCTGTACTCAATACTGCAACATTCTTCCAGCCTTGGCCGAAGAGATGGTTGAAGAGAAGAGTGATGAGGGTATTATTAGCGTGTGTGGTGTAGCGGGATCAGCAAAATCTGCGAGATTGCCAGATCCAACTTACCAACTGCGCCCAGACACCGACTAACGGAGGGGGTCCCCCGATGATCCGTGTTCTGCTGAACTTTCCTCACCTTGTGTACCCGTCGGTAGGGCGGGATCTTGCTCTCTCGGTAACTTCCGAAGAGTTCAAGTGGTGAAGCTTGAGTGTCTTGGCGAGACGTGGGGATGGGGTGGAGCAGCAGTGGAAAATCTTCACTCTGCGTCCGTGGATTGTTCCGAATCCTTAGCGAATATTCGAGCTTATGGATCCGGGGCCTAGATCGTGGATCTGGCCGTAGGGTTGCCTTGCGGGTGTGTCCCTTGCCTTTGCGTTCCTTTGCGTCGTACTTGCCGCCTCCTGTGACGGGATCTTGAGAGTTGAGAGCCTCTAGGGTATAACCGACCAAGTAGTAAATTCGGTTAACCCGTCCGATCTGCACGTGTATGGGAAAGCTTACTAGGTTGTAGGAACTGGCCAATGTATTATCCAGTTATCACTACCAACACTAGATTCGCAATTCCCAACCTTCTCCGAGCTCGTACGGCCAATGTAGTTCCGGTTCTTGAGGGCAGGAAGGCACTTGCGTGTTATGGTGCAAATGAGGTTCTGTATTGATATTTAAGCCTATACCTGCCTGGATTTCTACCTTCTATGTCTTTCATCTGCTAAATCCCTTACCAGGCTCGGCTGCATGTCCCTTCTTCCCTTGACCAATCATCCCAGCTGTATTATCTTCAGATCCACCGGATCCATGGCGTAATCATCATGGTCACCCTATTATGGGTACACTCATCCGGATCCAGGTCGCTTGGATCCACTTCACTGTAATTGTACACTCGCCGTGGATCCGTGCTCTCCAATCGTCCAACATCATCTTGCAACCGTCTGTGACCTCCATTGTCCCACGAAAGTTCCCTCATCCCTGTACCCTGGATCCAGGTCCTTCTATGCGGGATCCTCCCTCCTTGGATCCGAACCCGGAAGTATGGGATCCGGGGTACCTCGCGGTGGATCCTGACTTCTCGTTAGCCGTGGCTACTAGATCCACCTTCGGATGGCACCTACCACCATTCCTTCATAGGATCCACACTCGATCCACTGGTACATAGTATATCCCATATCCACCTAAGTGAATCCAGGTAAGGGTGGATCCGAGATAAGTCTTGGTGGATCTTGCCTTCCCGTACATCGCTCATACCAGATCCATCGTCATTCCATACGGGGTGCCGCTCGTCATGGCTAATCCACCACAGGCAACTTGCACCCGTGCCAAACAATTGAAATTGTCACTGATTCGGGATAGTGACCCCGCGTCAGGCCCATTCTCTTATTTCTGAGAAAGCACTTCACCACAATCGCCTCCTGTACGTGGTCGGCGCTGCACAACAGCGTCCACGACGTGCACTACCAGCATCCACAACCGCTTTCTCCTCTTCGTGACACATGTCTCCTGCCAAGCGTACTGGCAAATCGCCGGGCAAGGCCCCATCCGCCACCCCTCCGGTCAGTCCGTCTTCAATGTCGCCCACCGATCTGCGGGTACTAGCCCAGGCTCTTTCCAATCAGGTGCAAACCTTGACGGCGGAGCTCCAGACGGCTCAAGATGCCCAAGGCCAAGCTGCGTCTTTGCACGCCACCCAACTTCAAACCTTGCGAGCCCAGGTCCATGACCAGGCTATGGAGATCCAGGGGTGGGAGCACCGTGCGGCCTCTCAGTCGCAGGACCTACGACTCTTGCTGGCTGATCAGGCGGTCGAGATCCGCGACCTGACCGGACGGCTGGATCACGCCTCCCGTCAACGAGATAGCATGCGGGACGACAATGACCACCTCCTTAGGGAGATGACGCTCGCCGGATCTGAGATCCACCAGCTCCAATCCCGGATCCACGACCTCGAGCGGGATCTGGAGGATTCTCAGACTGCTAGGGCAGCCATGGACGAGAGCTTGGACCGACTCCGTGACGAGTTGCGTCTGACCCAAGAGGAGGTGGTGACCAACGACTATGTGGGATCCACCCATGGCGGGATCTACCTTAGGGTCGGCGCGTGGAGGATCTCCCGCGCCAAATCCACCTCCCTCGTCGCCGGATGTAGCTCTGGCTCAGCTTGCTGAGGAGTTGCAGGATACCAAGGAGTCGCTCGAGAAAGCGTCTGCCGGACGAGAGTACGTGCTCGAGGAGTTCGTGCGTATAACTCAGTTACGCGACGAGATCCAAGCGAAGCTGGCGGACAGCGAACTCCAGCGGGACAAGGCGGTTACCGAGTGGGCGGATGCCAAGCGTACGCAAACGGAGCTGGAATCCAAGCTTCGCCGCACGAGTACGTGTATCCTCTTTTAGCCCTTGCTAGTAACTCCATATTCACTTGTTATTGTCAATCCAGGCGACAAATTGAAGGAAGCCGATGCAACCACCGCGAAACTCCAGGATCAACTCGCCGCAGCCCAAACTCAGCAGCAACAGCTGGTCCTGGAGCGCGATCGTGGCTTATCGGAACGGGATTTGGCACGTCGACGACTGGCGCTGGTGACAGCTGCAGTGTCGGATCCCCTCCCTCCCTTGTCGGAACCCTCTCGTGCTGCCAGCGCCTCTGCTCCTCTTCCGTCTGTAAGTGGGGCGGATCCGTCAGTTGCGAAACGCCCGCGTAGTGCATCTCCTGCTCCTAGCACAGGATCCCCCCGTCCTC